TTAGGCAACATCTCATCCCAGTTAATCTGATCTGGTCTAATGTACATGCGCAGAACTTGCTGTAGGATCTTGTTCATTTGTTTTGTCTGACAGTTAGTCTCTGGGTGACGGTCGGACGACATTAACAACTTAGATCCGTAGACTCTCATGAGTTCTTGCCAGTTCTGGCTGGTGAAACGACTATCTCGCTCACTAACTATTGACACTGGGATTCCATTCTCACTAACCCAAAAGTCAAAAAACTTTTGTATAACTAAGTCCGTACGTGCCTCTGCAGGCAAAGGGACGAAAACTGCATATTTACTAAAACAGTCAACTACGACCATGACTTGGCTTTTACCATGTCTACTCTTGACTTGGGTGTCCATGAAGTCTATGGACACGAAGTCTCCCGACTGATCCGGAATAGGCAAGGGCCTGAGAAGACCTAAGGGCGCGCGTGTAGTAGACTTATTCCTCTGGCACACTTTACAACTACGGACATACTCTATGCAGTCATTCTTCATCCCTGGCCAGGTATACACACACATCAGGTTGGCTAATGTCTTTTGCCAACCGAAATGCCCTTCTGTATCGTGGCATTCCCCTAAAATCAAACTACGGATCTCTTCGCGGTTGGGAACACACAAGCGGTCAAACACATTAGTCTTCTCAAACAACAACCCGCTTGTAGTGCGGTAATCTGGTTCAGTCTCTGGGGCCTCTCTAACTCTCTTTAGGGGGTCGCTATAGATAGGGTCATGCGCATATGCTAGCCTCACTTTCTCCTGCAGGTCTCTCCCTATATCCAGATAGTGTACTACAGCCCCAAAGTAGTGTGATCTCCTACTCAGAGCATCCGCAACTACGTTGTACTTGCCCTTCACTGGCTTGAGCTCAAAGTCGAATTGGTCTATCTCTGCGGCCCACCTAGCCAACTTAGGTGTCATCTTGGCCTGGGTCTTTAGCCAACGAAGTGTCTCATGGTCAGAATACACTTTGAAGTGCCTCCCAAGCATATAGTGCTTCCAATGGTCTAAAGCCTGCCTGAGAGCGTAGAGCTCTCTCTCGTACGTGGAGGTAGCGACCTTCTCACAGGGCATCCTCGCTGACATGAACTCTACGGGTCTATAGCCATTGCCGTCATCTTGCTGCAACACGGCGCCTATCCCATACTGACTCGCGTCCGTGGTGACGACAAATGGCAAAGACGGATCTGCAACTTTGAGGACAGGATATTCTATTAACGCACGCTTTAGCTTCTTGAGTGCAGACGTACAGTCTTTGTCCCATTGCCAGATTGCCTCTTTCTTCAGCAATCGGCGCAAGGGAGCGGCGATAGTGGAGAAGTTCCTCACAAACTTCCTATAGTAGTTAGCTAAGCCTAGGAACGACCGCAACTCTGTCARTGTGCGGGGCGTCGGCCAATCTCTAATCGCCGCGATCTTGCTGTCCTCTCGCTTGATGCCATCTCCGTCTAATACGTGGCCCAAGTACACAACTTGCATCTTGGCCCACTCGCACTTCTTCGCGTTGATCTTGAAGTTAGCCTCTCTAAGCTTCTCCAAGACCTGCCTCAGATGACCCTGATGCTCCTGGAGGGTCTTACTAAAAACTAGGATATCGTCTAGATAGACTACTACAAACTTATCTAACCATGGTCTAAACAGGTCATTCATACAACGCTGAAAAGTAGCTGGCGCGTTGGTTAGTCCAAAGGGCATCACTACAAACTCATAGT